GGGCACCCCGACTCGGATAGGATAGGTTAGAAGGGGATGACTCTCATCGCCTTCGTGGTTATTTTTTTATAAACCTCTCAGAAGTAGGAGCCCCGCAAATCGGGGCTCCGTCGACCGGGCCTTCCTCGACTGCACCACGTTGAGTGGCGTGGAACTTCCGTCCCCCAACTCTCTCTCCCCATAAATCAGGTTAAAATTGTCAAAAAATTACGAAACATAACCTCAAAATAAGATTTTTAAAAATTTATAAAAAAAATTAAGCACGTCCGGCAAGAGGGGGAAGTAGGGGGCCTCTCTACAACTCCTCCTCCTCCCCCATATCCACCCACCACCACCTACCCCCTAATTCAGGCGACTTAATTGTAAACCGTACCCAATAAGTTCATTGAATCGGGAGACAATGTGGCACTCTCTTCCCTGAAAATAGGAAATAATTATATTCTAAGGAGCTCGAGTCTTTAGCGAAGTTTACGATCATGAGATGCATAGATTGAATCCGGAATTGGGCTAACATCAGTTCTTGGGTTTTCTGAATAAACATTTTACTAGCATAACCTGGAGCTAGGAAGTTGGCAGTGTTTCACACTCATTCCTTCGAAAGCACGTAAAACCATTGATCCTACGTCTGATCTCTCTCCAATCGTGGCGAATTGCCGTTCTATCAGAATATGAGAGTGAGTGAATAGAGAATACATCTGGCATTGCGTATAAACTCGTGCACTATAATCCTGTCATGCGCAGATGGCTAGTATCCATTGAATCTGGCCCCTATGACCGAAATATGATCTGGAGGATATTATCAGTAGTATTATTCTAAGTTTCACTATTCATATATATATATATATATATATATATATATATATATATATATATATATATATATATTCATTTATATATAAGATAATAATTTAACAACGAAATGGTAATCAAACGATCAACTGATAGCAATTACTATTTATCAAGGAAAAAACTATAATCAGTACAGTTGTAGCTCACTCAATTGAAGCGTTTAGCGTTTTAATCGCGCCATGTCACAAATTGATAAAGAAAGCAACACAATCACATTACAGAAAATAGTAGTGAGCAGCAGCATGTAAAGTGTACTCGTGTTAACAAACAAGTCTCATTATAATAATCGCTCGCCCTTTGACTGCTAGTTGACGCTAGAACAAAATACTGCTATTATTTATTAAACTACCCACATATAATTGCTAATAAGGTCAAGTCAGATGATCATTCAATAATATAAACATATAGCTCGTGAAGTGTCAATAAAGCACTAGTTGAATTTTGCTGTCGCAAGTGAGGCTCACAAAACTAAATAAACGTTTCGTATTTTAGCACACGTAATTTTAAAATTATCATATTTCTATAAAGGTTATTGGCTTATGTTAAAGGTCAGTAAGATAACAGTAAATGTAGTACATTTTCTGTTATCTCTATCTATGGTTAAAAATTGAATCAATAAAATAAACTTGTTTAAATATTTAAGTGAAAACGAGAATATCAGCGCCGTAAGCATTTGATATTCTGACCAACAACCGTAAGTAAACAAATAATTACTTAACTTAAAAACAGATTTTGATGTTTTTTTATCTCGTGTCAGCTGGGATGTATTTCTCGAAAAAATTCCTGCCCCTAATCGCATTGAGTCGGATGGTTGGGCTCAATGTCTCCCTTACTGGTAGTAAGGTACCCCATCTATTAGTCTGTACTATTACAGCGTAACACTCACAAAGTAGATCTTTATCTTTGGAACAAAGGACGCAACTTTCCTCTGTACTTCTTAATGACTTTAATATAACCCCGGCTGTAACGATAACGGTACGGTATATAACCTGTGTGTGCTCCCGAAAATCGGCCAATATTGACAGCCTTTGGCTCTCCGTTCCAGAGGAACAAGCAACCAAACGTGTTGTAATTATAATTCTTTATTGAACTTTAATTTTACAAACGTCAGACAAGTATTTTCTTCGGCATCGTTGAGACGTGTTATATTCATAAATTGCTCGAGGAAATCCAGTACCGAAACAATTAATTGTTGTAATTAATATTTACGTATATATAAGAATATACAAATTCATATTTTACAATTTCGTACACATTTTGCTATGATTTTCTCACAAATATTATTAAATATATTTAATAATTTTTAAAATAAAAAGCAAATTTGAATTCTAAATAAAGATGAATATTTCAAACAATCATAATAATGTCCTTAATTATACTTAGAAAAAAGATATAACCTTAAATAATAACTTCGACCCCTTTATATATATTTAGCTTAATCATAAAATTATTCACCATATATTTTACAAATTATTTTCAAATATATTTTAAAAATAGATAGGTATGATATATTTGAAAATCATTTGTAAAAGACTTGTTTTACAAAATTTTGTTTTGATTTTAACTACTTAATATTACAAAATTGGCATAACGATATAACATATACAAATATAAATAATAATAATATTCAAAGTCAATTTTTAATGTCAATAAATTGTTTTACATGGTTTATTTATGGGATTTGTATCGTTAGATCTCGACAACATACTTACCAGGACCAATTGTGAGTGTGAGAGTTTCATCAAAATCGGTCCAACCGTTCTCAAGTGATGATCTTTCATACTTGCGGCAGTTTATTTTCAATTAGATAGATTTACCACTTGCAATTCTACTAAGCTTTAACTGCTTGAATAAAAATATTTCGAAATCATGACATTAAGCCAGGATTTTAATAATGGCGTATAAAAAGTGGCGTAAAAGAAACCACTACCCCTTACCAAATAATATACAGAATGTCCCAGAAAACATATACCAGAGAAGGTCTGTGGTCTGTGGATATCAATACCCATTAGGTGCGTTTGGCAGAAAAAAGCGCAGCAAGCGCTTGTAAGCAAAATGGCGAAACTAATCAGTTTTCGGCCAGGACACGTTTGCTAGCTTCAGTAGCGCTGACACAATCCGCCATTTTGCTTATTTAATTTGTTTGTTTTGAAGTAGAGTTTATAAGTTGTTTTGTGCAATATTAGTTTTAAGTAATATAATGACATGAATAGACATATACGTGTTATTAAAAATTCATGATTGGTAAGTTTTTAATATGAATACTTTACAAACATATATTTAAATTAGGTTAGGTTCCCCGGTTAAAACTAACGTCATGTCCTAGAGGAAAATAACTATTTACGATTTGACAGAGCTTACCGCTTACGATCGCAATTTTGCTTACAAGCGCTTGCTAGCGCTTTTTTCTGGCAAACGCACCCATTGATTGGATTTTTACATTTACATTTTACATTGTCATGTGACATTGTCATATATGTTCCGTGATTTTTGTAGTTTTGAGATATGATTTTTTTTTGTTTTATTTACTATTTTTATTTAATTTTGTACGATTTTTATAATTTATTTTGTTTAATTTTGGACGATTCTAGCTATATCTTTTTCTGTGAAGTAATTCTTAGAGATTTTTTAGTTAGTTAGTTAGTTAGTATTATAGCTGGCATGTGTGTTCGTCTGCAAAAACACAAAACACCACAATTCTAACTACTAGAAGCTCTAATTAAACTCACAAAATTAAAATGTCTCTTTGAGAGAAATTTTTATTTGATTTCAACTTAAAAAAAATACTTAACCGTGTCTGAATAACTTCCTAATAATTTCAAAAACGTAACGGTTCCCCTAGCTCTCAAAATACACAAAAAAGTTGATAGTTTATAGAGCATTTTTGTGCGAAAACAGAGTTTAAAGTTAATACAGTCGAATATAGTGAAATTTATTTCAAGCATTTGAAATGACTTCCCAAATTTATCCGATTAATAATTATGAATTATGAATAATTATTAATGTTAGATAAAAAGACTTAAAATAACGTATTTACATAAAATGTTACTAGCAAGTACAACTTATTGGAGTTCAGTTCAGTTATTCAGTCAGGGTTAAGATTTTTTTTTTTTTCGAATTAAAATTTCTCTGAAACAAAAATTTTACTTTTGTGAGCTAAATCTGATCTATCAATAGTTAGAAATTTGAGGTTTTGTGTTTTTACAGGCGAACACATATGTTAGTCATAATACACTAACAAATCAATATCTAAGAATTACTTCACAGAAAAAATTGTAGCTAAAACCGTCCAAAATTAAGATTAAACTAAAAATTAAACAAAAAAGCATATCTCTAAAACTACAAAAATCGCGGAACATGTGTTTCCAATCGATAGCTCTGTACTGGTGTCCCCAGACCACAGACCTTCACTGGTCAGGTTTTCTGGGACACCTGCATATTATTACTAAGAAGCTCTAATACCTTATACCATCCCGTGAGTATGGTAAAAGAAGGAGAAAAGAAGAAGTATACATGAGGACAGGCATGACCCAATCGGTATATGTGTGAGTTTTATTAATGCCCGATAAAAAGCTGTAAGCACTTTTCTCAAGCGAGCACAAAACAGATCGCAAACTGACTGTTTCATGTCCGCCTCATCGATACCTATGTTCTGTAACATACCCGGGCTTCAGCCTCGGAAAGAGTCCTTATGTTGATGGGCATAGGTAAGTCTATGCCCTCAGAATTAGCAACCCTACCCCTTTCGACATGGAGGACCGCACACCTATCCGCCCCCAGTTCCATTCTGATAAAATTGCTAAACTCACAACAACAAGTGATGTTTAACAACTCCATAAGATAGAAACGACTGAAGGCGAATAACTTGACATCATCCATATGGAAAAAGTGAGTCACTTTTGTCCCCCCTTCCGAAACACATTTACTTCAACGATTTAGCGATAGACCCAATTACCATTCCAAATAATTGCAAATATAAGTTTTAGTAGCCATCACAGGTGAAGGCCTCCTCCAAAGTTAGCTACTTATCTTGGTCTAAGGCTACACCAAGTGTGGACCGGCGATATTTTTAATTTCATGGTCACAGGTGACCACTAATAATATATAATTACTAAGCTTATTTTTTTACAATGCTACCTTTCTTTCAGATAATGGCGCAAACGGAAACAGACGATCTGCGCAGGCGAAGGAAAGAGTTTATTCTAGAAAATAGCTTAAATAAGCAAGACGATGATAAAAAACCAAAACCAGAATTTATGCTTCGAGAATCGCCTTTAACAGCACTCGTTGAACGATCTCTTCACATAAGAGCTATTTACCACATATTTGTAGTTATACTACTGATATTATTTTGCGACACGATGATATATGACTTCGTAGAACGTGGAAAGCAAGTAAAACGTTTCTAATAAAATATTATATAGATTAAATTGTTACGATGGTTTTATCCTGGTTGAAATTCTTCTAATCCACTAATGTACTACTTGTGTACGCTAGGAAGCAGTGTAAAGACACTGGAATAAACCACAAAAATGTGATAAGACGGACTACATACGACGGACTGCTGTGATTTAAACCCAGGCTCCGCAGCTTTGTGGTCAAGTACTTCAAAGTCCGGCTTCATGGCCCTTAAAGCCATAATCTCTAATATATTTACTTAAACTATATTATATATTTTGATGAGCGTTTAATGGTAAAAAAATCCACTACCCCATATCATCTTGGGATGTCGTAAGAGATGATAGAAGAAAATGAAAGAGGAGATGGTTAATAGCAACAGCATCTATAAAATATGTACTCCAGTAACTATGGCAAATGTCTTCCATGTGGCAGTCAATGGGACGGGGTTACTTTAAGTCTTCTTTTGCTAGACTGTAATGTATCAGCTACACTTATGTTATATGTCATGTTATAACTCTTCATATTTACTATACAATACAGGTCTTATCCATTATGTTCAATTTATTACACCGAGATGTAGATATTATTTTTAAGGGTATATTTTTTACTTATTAACATTATAACTACATGTGAATATCCTTGCTAGATAAATATGTATTGTGCTTTATTACTATACTATGACGGCGTAAGGGAAACCATAATTTCATTTCGTAATGTGAATGTCGTGAGAGGTGTCTGGAAACACCAGAAAGTCCTCATGGCTTCCTTCAAATGGCGATATAACGTACTCTATTACACGAGACGTAACATACCTAGTCCAGCGACGGGGAGCAGCATCAAAAGTGCTGCAAGTTCTGCTGCTGTAACTGCAATCAACTATCCACCAACTAAATGATTGTGGCAAATCCTGCCCACATTAGCACATACCCTTGTTCAACGTTCGTCGCATACCAATTTTCAATATATCCTTGCATTCTGAGTTGCACGACTTACGTCGAAATTTCTTTAATAAAAATAAATTCTTCTACGACTACTTTAATCAATGCATTAGACGAATAAGAGAAACGCATTTCAACATAGAACGTCCATGCATGGTTTACGGCTGAAAATATCCCATAAATGACCTTTTATTTGTTTAATGGTAAATGAGAAGGCTGTAGTTATTTCTAAATCAAACATATTTTTACTTTTTTGTATAGGATAGGGTGACAAACGAGCACACAGTCCACCTGATGGTAAGTGGTTGCTGTGGCCCATAGACATCTACATCTATCCTCGATTACGAATCAAAATGCAGATGCGTTGTCACCCGTGAGGAGTAAGATGGAATGCCTCGTTTCCAGTAAAAAAGGGTCTCCGTTTCTACAATACCACAACAATCACCATACGAAATACATTTCTCTTATTCGTCTAATGCTTTGATTAAAGTAGTCATAGAAGAATTTATTTTTATTAAAGAAATTTCGACGTAAGTCGTGCAACTCAGAATGCAAGGATATATTGAAAACTGGTATGCGACGAACGTTGAACAAGGGTATGTGCTAATGTGGGCAGGATTTGCCACAATCATTTAGTTGGTGGATAGTTGATTGCAGTTACAGCAGCAGAACTTGCAGCACTTTTGATGCTGCTCCCCGTCGCTGGACTAGGTATGTTACGTCTCGTGTAATAGAGTAGACTTTTGACTGGAAACGAGGCATTGCATCTTAGCTCATCTTAGTCTCAGGGGTAACAATTTTGATTCTTAATCGAGGATAAATGTAGATGTCTATGGGCTACAGCATCCACTTATCATCAGGTGGACTGTGTGCTCGTTTGACACCCTCATTCTATAAAAAAAGGTAGAAATCATTTATTTATATCATTTTTGCTTTATATTATTGTGTTTTAAAATATTTATAATATTTTCTTCAGGATAAACATTGGAGTAACGACTATAGTTCATGGATTCGGTGACATACGACGTGGCGCGAAAATATGGTTGTTCGAGCTTGCAGTCGCGCTTGCCTTCTATCCGCTATTAAGAATATACGCTTTACCTCAAAAGCTTTTTAAAAACTTTCCAGGTAATTAATTGTTGATGCAAACTTTATATAGGAAAAGAATTTCTATTTCACTTCGGTCCTATTTCATTTATAGAATTACAATTTAAGATCGCTCATTAATTAATATAGCCTAACACGATTTGAGGCCAGCATCGCATTCGGTAGATAAGGCCGTGATAGCACAGATTAATAAATAGGTGATAGCAACATTTGAATCTTACGCAGAAACTTCACATTAATGCCGCGACGTTGCAACACGGTTCACACGCACGCGTACAAACCCAACGCCTGCACGCACACATTCAATACTAATAACTAAAAATACATAAGCATTAAAAATCTGACCTATTGTCACATTACTCACAATCATATAACTATACACTTTTAAGAAAAATGAAGCTTTGATTTATGGGATAGCTAACTGTAAACTGCTTTTGTTTGAGACTACCTTACGACTAAATTTACAAATTTCCGAATACATATTCCGAGACAGTCATATCCATGAACTGAAAAGAAATTTACAAATTTTCTTTTCAGTTCATGGATATGACTGTTTGTTCACTTCTTTCGTTCCAAGCAGTGACTGCGTTAGTTTTTCTTATTTTCATCTATATAATATTCAGCATCTTTCACTTAATTGTGCATATGTGCTAATTTATTATTTACAATTAATATTCTTAACACACAATAAAAATAAAAAAATGAACTAATATAGGAAAACTAAAACTAAAAATTCTAACTGTAAAAGTTCTGCTCCTCGTGGTAAAGTGCCAATTCCTAGAACTTTCTGATAACTAGTCGAGAATCCTATTTTTGTTGAAGTTGAACGTAAAGTAGGCAATCTGCGTCTGTAATAGACATAAGTATTTATTCTTCATTTTTTTTCCCCGAATTTAAAGATTTTATATAGATAGAGATAGATAAGAGATTTAAAGGGTTTCTACGTAATAAATGTACATGTTGTATCGAGCACACTCTTTATGAAAAATACCGCAAAAAAATCTTGAGTTGTTTAGATCTTGATTGTTTAGAAAAGAAATATTACCATGTATTGCTTTTCGTGGTATTAATTCTTTTTTATTTTTACACTTTCACTGTCCGATTTTTAGACTCAATAGTAGGACAATAGCAATGACCTATATGTAATGCACGGTACAGTGAAAAGATTAAGCTTAACTGGGCTGCAATCTGTAACAAAACAAAAATGACTCCTAAGTAATGTCTAAATTTATTTTGCTGGAATGAATGATTTTTTTCATCGTCTAGTTTGGCGACTGTATTAATGAATTGGTATGTCTACCGCGTCCAAAACCTGCATTAAGATACCAGCAATTCCATCACTGCTTACGTTATATATAAAACACACTCTTTAGTAGACTCGAATATTATTAGCATATTCATCTTTCCAGTCCTAGGGGGCATCTTTTTAATAGTCGGGTAAGGGAACTTGACAATATAGTACAGTTTTTATGAATTTCCGATACTGATTAAGTATTACCTAAACATTGTTGCATTGGTGAACTGATTTTGGAGTGGTCTTACTTCTTTACCCATACCTTCAGTAGATTTTATGCTGATGATGATTTATGCCTCCGAATTTATTCTATAACACAAAAACTCAGCATCCATATTTAAGAAGTGAAATTTTTTTGGTTTTAAAGGCTAATGTTATCTTTGAAAATTTGTAACGCTTTTTCAAGAAGTTCTAAATTCTCTTCTTATGTTTCATTTATAATTAAAATGTCAACCTCTGCGAAAAACATAATGGAGCGCCAGGCAACCCAGAGGGGTGCCTTAAAAACCCATAAAGCCTAACAGCTAAAAATAGCTTAAATAAAGGTTTTATTTAGAATCACTTTAATTGATTAGCTTAGTATCTCTCATTATCATTATCATCAACCTAAACCAATTCTCCAATAGGATGGAACAAAGTGTGGTCCTAGATTGCCGAAATCCGTTGACCCGCATGTTTCTAATTCGGGTTTGCCCAATAGTGCGCTTACCAGTAAGCATCTGTCACTCAAGAACCTTTTTTCCTCATTGATTGTCGGTTGTTCGAGCTAGAACATATTATCCTAACATCTAGCTTTTTGTCTACTTAGACAATTAATTCGTTGGACTCTGTCTGTTACCCTTGTTTTTCTGGAGATATCGTAGGTACGGATTTTATCACGCTGAGAAAAGCCATATAAAGTCCATAGCCCACTGATAGGGATATATGCTGAGGTATCACTTTGAATCCACCTTTGGTCACGGGGGATGACCATGGGTACTATGAAGTGCCCGAAACGTCGGGAAATTAAAAAATAAAAATTTTACGTGAAACAATCTGTAAAATTAGTTTTATTTCCATCAGATATGTTGTTCTCTGATTTAAATACTATGATACTTACTTAGTTTTTGACTTTACTCGATTACTAGTTGGAGGAAGTCTTACTAAGGGGTTGTATATTGAACTCCTGCTCTGCGTAGGAGTTCGTCTAAGTAGGTATCATAGTCTTGTCTATTTTTGCCGCCAAACAGCTTCGTTCTGAAGGGTATGGAAAGTAACGCTATCCCATCACCTACTTTGTTTGAAGTTGGCTGCAGATATCCAAGGGCTACTATTGTTGTGGACTTTAAGTTCGTTTTCACCTAAATTTTATTAAAAAAATTGAAAGTGAAACGAATGGTATCTACGGCATTATATTTTAACTGAAACATTGATTTTTCATTCAAATAATAAACAGAACAGAAATGTTAAGGTTAAAAATTCAAAAAACTTTCATAAAAACTATCCATTGGATTTTAATTTAAGAACTAAACACCAGTTTTAGTTTATGAGCATTAGCATTTTTATTAACATTCTTATTAAATATACTTTTAAGAATTTCTCAAATACTGACGCGATGCATTAAACATTTTAATAAAAAATTAAAAGTTTCTATTTAAAAGCGCAGCTTAACATGCATTATTAATCGTTTAATGTTATACGGAAAAGGCAAGCAAAGGCAAAGCACCATCGACGCCATGTTCAATTAATCACTTGGATAGCCTCGTCTACAGACCGTCGAACTGCAAAAATTGCTTAAGTGCCGACTTAGACGGTGTCAAGAGGGCAAATATGTACAACATACATGTTTTTAGAAGCATTGCATTATTATATTATTCATTATCATTCATTCACTGATAACAACCTATCAAAGTACACTGCTGAACATTACTCCCTCCCCCATAGATAGAAAACCCCCTCATAAGGGGAATTTATTTGCAATAGTTGCCACGCTTTGCAAGTGGGCTGCCAACCACAGTCTTTTATTTTTAGTTTATATTAGGAATATGCAGCAGCACACAAGCAGGATACAGCAGAGAGCCCGTCAGCTGGTTTCAGCCCCTAGTTTGGATCCCTCTGTTGCCACTTCTTATATGGGGAAGATTACATTATATTTATGAAACATCATGTATAAAATTAGTTAAAAAAATTGTTTACGAAATTATATGTTATTAGTATCCACTTTTTCTTGTCGTCGGCGTGTGATTACTACACGGTCAAGTTTAACAGAACGGAAACGCTAAAGCTTAGGTCTCTTATAACCACTATATGAATGTTCACCAATTAAACAACTGACAATTTTTTTATTCTAGCTGCTCGCAAAATATGGTCCATCTTGGGTATACTGGGAGTAGTACTTTTAGAAGTAGTAGTGATCGCAGTACCTACTTGGGACCTAGCCAAAGAGCATCTCGCAATTGGTTCTTCGGTCGCCGTGACGTTTGAAATGGTAATTAATTTTTTTGACTTTAATTGACTTTTATATAGTTTTTGTATCGCTTACTTGATTCCACTAATTCCTTCTACTCTATTGCCTATAACTGTATCACCTTCTCCTATGAAGCGACGAATAACTGATGCTATCGGAAAGGGCATTGTACATTAAATATTCATGACAACATTTTTACACAAACATGGACTTCAGACCATTGCTTGATCCGAAGTATGGTGCCACAACCGCAATAGGAGCGCCATTGGGGTTGTATTATGTTTGGCACTATGGGTTATCCGATTGGTACAGGGTGCGGTCTTTTTTTCATCATACCATTCGGGAATTCTTGCTACCTTTGGGGTTTACTTCTTGCCGGACGATCCCAACGTTGTTACTGATGTCTTACTTCAGGGAATGGAACTTTTTATTCCATCTTCTGGGGTGCCTATCGGAGGCAGATCACAGCTATGGTTTGTTCACGAACGCGGTGGCATCACGCTATGAGCAAGAGCTGCTACACTCACAGACCTGGGCTGTCGCATCGACGATCCGGGATGTAAACACTAGCGCTGTTAAAAAGAAATCCGACTCCAAGTCTTTCGGAAAACTCACATCGGCGAAATTGGCGGGAAACTAGCTCGCCTTCCTTTGGGAACCCGTGCATTCTGGTCTCTCGTCAAGGCTGTTGTTCAAAGACTACTAATGGAAAACTTCTGTCAACCATCACTTCCATCTCTGCATGGGGATGACGATTCACTGGCTCATGCCGCAAGAGATAAATCCGATCGGTCAGGCTCTCTTTTCGCGTTCAACTTGATTCTCGATGACTGGAGGAATACACAGCCACAGCTTACGATGTAAATGCTCAATGCCGGATGCGCAGTTCACACAGCACTTAAAATGCTTAGCAATCATCTCCCTGCACGTCAACAAGTCGAGTGGGCCTGATCCATGATGAATCCCTCCCATTGTCCTATAAACGTATATTTCATAGGTTCAGATGCCTCTTTTCCGGTACTATTACTGCGTGTGTGTAGAAAAAAGAACAACACCTTTGGTGCAAACGATCCCTATCCCTTGTTTGACAAAATCGGCTCTACCCATAGTTCTTACCACACTACCAAAGGTTAGCCTTTGTAACAAATTGTATTTAGTGAAATAAGGAATTGTCTATCTATCTATCTATTATATCATAAATTACCTTGAGGATCACCAGCTGATTAGTGACTGCTAGTACGATTTCCGTTGGGATCGCATACCTGGTAATCTTCGGTTTTACCTGCTTCATAGATGGGTGGAGGCAGACTCTCCAAGGGGGTGGCCCTGGTCGTTAGTTTGGACATTGCGTTTGGACTTTGATCGAGTTTGGCACAAAGCGCTTTTTTGATATAATGTCATAAATTTTTTATAGATTACAATAAGAGTTCAACGAAGCTACAAAATGATGTCAAAAATCGATTTAAAAACGCTGAAAGCATCAAGTTCCGATCAATTTCACAGACCGACTGGCGCACTTTTGGAACACATACGAGGGCGGCACTGAAAATTTCGTGAATCAAGGAAGTGACACAACATTACTATTTAAAAATGTATTTATTGCTTTTCGAAGTATTCTCCGCGAAATTTGACACATTTTTCCATACGATGGAACCAATCATTGAAGCAACCATTCCATTCGGAAGTTGGGGTCTCCAAAATGGCCGTTTTGTAGGCGTCCACAGCTTCTTCAGGTGATGAAAATCTCTGTCCACGCAATTTATTCTTTATTTTAGGGAAAGTATACAAATCATTAGGGCTTAGGTCGGGGCTGTACGGCGGATGGTCTAATAATTCTATGTTTTCTTGCTCTAAAAACTCTTTTGTTCTGTGTGCGTGTGAGAACTCGCATTGTCGTGATGGAGCATGATGCGGCGGTTGCAGTTCTCTTTACGGAGTTCAGAAACGACCTGTGGCAAACAAATGCTAGCATACCATTCTGCATTAACCGTTTTATGTCCCTCAAGAGGAATAGTCGTAACATGGCCGGTTTTGGAGACAAACATGGCCACCATTTTTTTGCAACACTCCGTGAACGAACAATTTTTGTTGGCTTTAACTCATTTTCGAACACCCAAACTCGTGACTGGTTTTTTGTTTCGGGTTCGTACGCTTCTATCCAGGATTCGTCACCTAATACAATGTTGTATACAGCATTTGAGGATCCAGCGTGGGATCTTTCGAGAGTTCTGACGCACCAAGTAACGCGAGCCGCTTTTTTGCTCTTCAACGTATCATAACTTTACACCTAATTGTCATAAAATTTAATTTAACTCATTCCAAAAATTGCCGTTTCGATGTCTCCCACCTTAAATCAACGAATTCAGCAAACCAACGATAAATTGTTGTTTTGGATGGGCTTCATCAACATATGCAGAAATCATCCGGTCAACACACTGTTTTTGTGTTAAACCACTTCGAATGTCATAATAAATCATCGCTCTTGAATTTTCTCGAGTCAATACCATTTTCTCAACGACTAAACAAGTTTGACAAAAGCTTGTGACAAGACCGAGAATCTTTTTTTAAATAAATAAATGGTATTCGATTTTTAAAACCAAGGATTTTTCAATTAAAAAGATTTTAATATGACAGGAACAGTGGAAATATTCCATTCCCGATACTTTTAGTGCAGCCTAGTATGTATAAAGTGTAATGATGTAATTCGTTACTTTTATAGTATACTTGATTTTAATTACTCAATGGTTTTGCAAATATTACAAACTGAATGTCTGTGGAGATATATATATATATATATATATATATATATATATATATGTGTGTGTGTGTGTGTGTGTGTCTGTGTGAGTCTTGATAATATTAGTTTCCATTTCGATGTCAGGTAGTTGCCTACAACCAAAATTGTAAATAATTTATAGCGTTGACGTACCACGGGTGGCCGGATGACGGCGGGTGGCAGGTGGCCACGCTTTAGGTAATGGACTTAGCAGCCGGTGCGAACGCCATTATTTACTAGCCCACAGTCTCGGCTCTGACAAGGGTCCCGACTGATTTATGTTACATTTCACTTTCGACGCTGTTTAGCCACACGACCTATAAATATTTGTGCGTACAGCAGTGTGTAATTAGACACCACATGTGAGGTCCTTTCAACGTTATGTAGGTACTTTTTATGTTTTCTTCTAGAGTATGTCGGTTTTATTCACATCGTTTCGAAAACCAGGTTATAATTAGGGTTCTAATTGGGTCGTGAGCTATATTTGGCAGTAATCAAAACTTTATTTTATATAACACTTGCATTATATTTTCGCTACCTAGTTCTATAGCGAATTTAATAAATAGAAACGCAATATTTTATGTTGCATTTTTATTTTAGAACTGAAGTAACGAACGTACAGTCCTCCTGATGGTAAAAGACAGCCCATGGACACCTCTTATATATCTAGATAATTATAGTGAATATACTATTATCGTATACTTGATTTTAAATACTCAACGGTTTTGCAAATATTAAAAACTGAATGTCTGTGGAGATATATATATATATATATATATATATATATATATAAAAAAAATATATATATATATATATATATATATACTCGCTATATTTTAGGCACAATTAAAAATTAAAACGCTTGAACTTTGAACTCAATAAGACATTCCATGGAGTAGTGTAATTAATCTACTAATTCCGTTACTTAGAAACTTTCAGAGCTTACACATAGCTCTGAAAGACTGCGATAGCTGTTGTGAATTAGTTTGACGTCAGAAGTGAGAGCACAAACTTTGCTACAGTCGGTGGAAATACTCAATTGCCTTTATATACATGCACAACCTAAATGATATATTGAAACCTTAATTATGTTCTTAATTAAATTGTGTTTTTTTAAATAGGATATAATCAAAATTACAATAAGTAAAGTGGAAATTCGAAGAATCTGTGCAGATTAAATCACACGTAAAACAAAAATTTAGGTTAGCTTCGCTAAATAATTTTACCTCTGTGTTCCATCCAGTCTAAAAGAGAAAGAGATTCAGTAATGTACAGCTGCGAGGCATTTTATCTTAGGCCTAAGCGACGACAACATTGTTTGATGTTTTCTTAAATTTACGCGAACACTACACATTGAATAAAACTAAATTTACGGATTCTATCGCATTTAATTAACTACTTTTATTTATTTTTAATTCCCGAGTTTCGGGTGCTTTACAGCACCCATGGTCACGGGGGGGACTGAGATGTTTGACGTCCCGATGTCATTGTTAGCGCGGCTACCTTTAGTTTTTTTAATCCAATAATATAGATCCGATCTACGCAAAACGAGCTTACAGTATCTTGAAGTCTTGCAGTGATATGCTTGGGTCTGAGTTTAATTTTGTTAACAGATCCCGGTGGATGGGTACTGCCATCTGTGCCGTAGTGTGGGATGCTACTTACGTTGACACTTTGGCGGCCTCTCATCTTAAGGATACCTCTTTTAGAGCCGGGGCGGCATCAGAGGCAGCTGAATTAAGTAAATGGCGCAAGTATGAGTCTTTGAGAAATGACTACATATTTGTGCCATTTGCTGTATAGACTATCGGTCCGTGGGGTCCACGTGCAGTGAAGTTCCTAAAGGAACCGTGTCGTGACAAGAGGGCTGGTTCTTTTCTCGCTCAAAGGCTAAGTATAGCTATTCAGCGAGGAAACCCAGCCAGCATTCTTGGCACTATACCACGGGGAGCAGGACTTTATGACAATTTAATTTTTTAAGTTTTAGTTTTTTTTATATTATAGTTTTTTTTTATAATAAAATTAAAAAAATAAATTAGAAAACACCAACGCAATTTTAGAAACATTTGTGATTGTAACCTTTCACTGTTGATCCCCTCCCTGAACTCCTTTGTAACGCAGTAGGATATTTAAATAAGCTTTTAAGTAGCTTACTCGAAAATGTTGTTTACATTTAACTAAGCCGGATAAAGTTAGTAATGAATTATACATTTTCAGTTCAGGTTAGCAATGAAAATACATGCTGCGGCCGTGGCCTGTGCTCCCCGATGTTCAGATGATGGAACACCGCTGCCAACCTTCAAACATTACGTTTACTTCCTGTTTGCACCCACATTAGTATATAGAGATGAATATCCAAGGTATGTAATAAATTCATGAAGAATTTTACAATAATACAGAATCGATAAAAATTGCTATGTCTTTTTAATACATCAGATAGATCAGTTTTAAAATGCATATTTCGACCAAAAAACACACATTTCGGAAATATAAAATATATGAATAAAATTTTATAAAACTACTAAATGGATTTACGTAGATGAGGTTTTAAACAAAATTTAAAAAAAAGTCACAGAGAATCTTGAGGATGTGTGAGTTGCATACATTGCATGCGTATTTCATGTAGGGATAGCTAGTATGGGATTAGAAGAAATAGATAGGTTGGATAGTGAATCACAAACCTGCAAAGGTATAGCAAGTCTCTAATAAGAAATATATAAGTTATCTCTCTTAATTACATAGTTGAATTAGGAGAGATATTTTATAGAATACGAGTAACAAGCGAACGGATGGACTGTATGTCCACCCGATGATTGGAGGAAGCTGTAGCCCATAGACATTTACATCTATCCTCGAAGAAGAATCAAGATGCAAATGCGTTATCACCCCTGAGGACTAATGTGCAATGCCTAATTATCAATAAAAGGAGTCCGGTTCTCTACACTCACCAAACAAAACGAACAAAAGCATTACGATGCTATTTCACGCTGGTATTCTGTGAGAGCGTCGTCCTTCCCCGGTCGAGCCACCGATTCGTGCTGCAACTACAATACCTGCAGCGTGGCTGGTCAGCGTAAAAACGTGTCATAGTAGCCGACTATGGGTAAGACCTGTTCATACGTGGTAGATCCACGCGGCAGCTATTATATGGTTGCAGCGTGAATGTGTCGACCCGACCGGTGAAGGACCATGTTCTCACAGAATACCAGCGTAAAATAGTAGCTTAATGCTGCTGTCTTTCGTATGGTGAGTATAGAGAACCGGAGACCTGTTTTACTGGAATCGTGGCATTCCATCTTAGTCCTCAAGTGTGACAACGCATCTGCATTTTGATTCTTAATCGAGGTTAAATGTAGATGTCTGTGGGCCACAGCATCCACGTACCATCAGGTGGACCGTGTGCTCGTTTGTCACCCTTATCCTATAAAAAAATACCTCATGACTTCCAACGTTAAATACCTACTCAGACCGGCAACGTCAAACAGTGTTCAAGGTACAAGAACTGTGAGTGTGTCTAATACTGTAATTTCCAACCTGACTACTAAGCGTGATGATGAAACAAACCTTACCTCTTCAGAAAGCGTGCAATATCCAGCTGCTATTACCTGCTTCGAAAGGAAAAAAAGATTATAGGTGACCATAATGATTATATTGGTTTGGGGAAGATTTTTTATTGCTATAAATAATGCGTATATTTCATTGAATACAGTATAACAATAAATTAAATGTTATTGTATTTAATTTTTCAAATAAAATAGATGACTGTATTTTATATATCCACTTCAAATATTGTTTCATTATTTCTTTTCATTTCATGTTAGGAATCCTAGGGATATATTCGACATTGAAAGTTAATCTAATTACGGTTGTGTTTGCGGGTGCACCCTCATTTCTCGTTTACGGCGAAATTACACTCCGAAGATGACTCAGACTAAACAAAACCTTATTCACTACGAAGATTTTATATAATTCTCAACAATACTTTGATACACGGAATTTTTTTAAATTGTATTTCAGTCTGACTAAATTCAAAAACGTTCATCAATTCAAAAATATGTATAACTATAAACTTATAGCTAATATGCACTCGCTTTGCTGGGCGCATGATATTAGACGATAATAACGAAGATAATAAGCATAAAGTTTTTTTTTTTAAATGGGTTATCGTGAAACCCGTTCTTAGTAAGCGTCTACATTACGTAATAATCAAGCTCTGGTCTATAATAGATAAAAAATGACCACCAATATCCATAAATTATGTATTAATGTAATGATTTTTAAAATTTACGCGAACACTACACATTGAATAAAACTATTATTTACGGATTTTATCGCGTTTAATTCAACTTTAATTTATTTTTATTATCCCGACGTTTCGGGTGCTTTACAGCACCCATAGTCACGGGGGGAACTGAGATGTTTGACGTCCCAATGTCATAGTTAGTCCGGCTACCTTCAGTTTTTGAATATTAATTTAATTGGTCCGGACTTTATATTAAAGTAAAATAAATTAAAGTTGAATTAAACGCGATAAAATCCGTAAATAATAGTTTTATTCAATATGTATTAATGTATTTATTTTCCTTGCAGGACAAAGAAAATTAGATGGAGTGTTGTATTATGCCATTTTATGGAAGTAGCGGCTATTATATTTTACAACAGTTTTCTTTGGGAGAGATTCATTTTACCGTACTGGTCGGATTACGGGAAAGAAGCGAGAGTAAGCTACCATTTTTTTTTTGAAATGTCACTAAATGTGATAAAAGTTATAAGCCGTTGAACATAGATAATGTATTACTTTCGTCACGATATAGAAATTATAAAAAATATTTCTTATAATCGTTAGACACTATTTATATTAATGATTGAACTAAAGTAAAAGTTCATATCACATTATTTTTCAGTTCTTATAAGTAATTATAATATTAAAAAGGTATGTTTAATTTTAAGCCTTCGGTCGAGCAACTATTCAATAAATTGATTGTGGTAACAAAAGCACGGTTTAGAGAAAATAGAATCTGCGCGGCTGGCAAATGGAACGCAGTCAAACGTTGCTTCCTTGATCGATGCACATTTTATATAACTTTAAGCCGGACGATTTTTTTATTTGAAATTGTCCTTATGCAGTATTATAGGAAAATGTACTAATTATTTAAGAAATTATAGCACAAAGTTGACGTCATATACCTTTTTGTACATTCTACAACAAGCACAATGTGAAGAAAATTAGAAAAATTGTCGTCAATTTTCTTGATTCTTGTCGCTACATACCCTAAAAATATCTACAGAAGTTTTGTAACATCAAACAAAATGATAACCGAACATATAAGTACAGTAAAAGTATAATTGTACTGTTCATAATAGCTTGAAATCCATTGTCAGATTTGGTGTAGTTTATAAATAAAACTAATAAACGCAATTCACTAAATTGTATACAGCATTAGTGACTGACACGCAAAGTGTTAATCATATTAATAGCTTTTTGTTTTCTTTTTCAGGTAGAAGCCGGTACCGTTGTGCGTGGAATGTTTGCATGTGTGCTACCAGGCGTTATTTCTTTTCTATGTGGTTTTTACTGTCTTCTTCATGCTTGGCTTAATGCTTTTGCTGAGATGCTGAAATTTGGCGACAGACTCTTTTACGAAGTAAATATATATGAAAATTTTCTTTTAAATAATTATATAGTTTAATATGTAGGTAACAAACTAAGATCTACAATGGTCAGTACGAAATAAGGAATGTAAAATCCTGAAACACATTGGAGATGTTAAGGGGATTTTGAAGATAATTCGTTCAAGTATTTTAATTAGGAAAGGCCTAAACCCCTCATTTAATTGTTTAGAAGCATTCTATTTAACTACATAACTGTAATCTCTCGTCGTTGTTTCTGGTAGTCACTACAATTTAGGAGTATACTAATTACACTTTGTATATAGTTAGGTATATATTTCAAGACAGTATAATAATATTTATAAATCAGAACATAGGATATTGAGATAATCATTTTTATCGGTTTTTCGCCGTTAATCGGTCGTCATAGCTAAGTGATCTGTGATGAGTGAAACTTTGCATTCTATCGCATCAAAATATTTTTAAAATTTTTGTTTACTCCTTATAATATTAACTATCTGCCAGTGAAAGTCCCCTCAAAATCGGTCCAGCCATTTTGGAAATTAGCCTTAGCAAAGAAACAGACAGACAGACAAACATTTTAAAAATGTTTTATTATAAGTACCGTACATATGGGTCATTCCCATTTTTGCATATTTTTTGTGCAATTGTATTAAAAAAATAAATAACTTATTATTTCTAGATTTTCTATCTACAATTAAACCTTAGTAGATTATATTATTGGAATTTTTATTAAAACTTAAATAATTTTTAATCATTTTTAAGAAAGTGACGAAAACATCACCTCCATGTCGTGTACAACTTCAATTTATGATAATACAGACTAAAATAAAACAAATATATCGACAACAAATTAACTTTTTGAATGCAGCCATAATTCAATAAATCAATAAATACAGTTTCTAGAAGAATCACTTTATCTTGACATTTCGTCGTTTTTATTAATCAGCATTTGAGGTTATGAAAATACGGTACCTCCATTGAAGTAATATGTACTTACATACTAGAACTGCTATTTCAAACAAAAAATGTGCGCTACTCTGTGTTAGCGCGGTTGTTTTTTTTTTTATCACAGAATAAACATAGGTAGAATGATCAGTAGGTAATAGAAGATTGTATTATTAAATAGGTAAATTATATCGAAAACAATTTTTAAATTTTGTCAATTATTTTGTATATTATATTTGCTTATTTAATATAATATTACCTAATATTATATCACAATTACATTTTAATGATATTTTTATCTCAATATTTTAAAAGGTATATAAAGTCAATTATAGAAAAACATACTAAATTTATGTTTTGCAAAACCTATTAATATAACATTTAAATTACAAATATATTTATTTAAATTAGAATAAGAGTCGTTCATAAATGCTGGGCACGCGAGAGTTAAAATGGACGAATTTATTCCACTTTGACTTTGATGTGGAAACCTAAAAATAAAATAAAAAGATAATGAGCAGATTTAAATATAAAACAATTTAGCCTAATTACGATAACTTATATATGTTTCTACAAAAAAAAAATGTATATACTAATATATTCGTCCTATAATTAAGTACCCACAGAAATGTCGCATCTGAACAAATTAATTTCATAATCTATATTCCATGACACGAGATGGCGTTAGTTAGAAATAATTTGTTTTATTATTTATTACTTTTTTATTGATTACGTATCTTGATAACCCATGAAAAGTAATTCCTTGATTTACTGACATTTATTGAATTATTTGTGCAATATCTAAGTATACACGACGGCATATATTTATCAAGAGATTTTTTTTAAATCAACACAACACGTGACAACTCTACAAGCGCCTAGCGAGTACTGATTGAAGTGCGGTGTACGCACCGCAGTTGAATGGAACAGAGTAGCTGAATGCAGTTTCGCCTCTAGTACGTAGTAAATAATAGCTCAATGGGTATCTCCGTTTAAAATGTCACCTCCATGGATGTCACCCACCTAGATTACGGTTATTCACGGAGGTGAATTAATGTCCATTGATGTGACAATACTATGATCTCTCTTCATTAATTTGAAAATTATTAATGTGATTTATTATATTATGTAAATATTTCTTGACCCAGGGTAATTATGGCACCATAAAATCAGTAAGAGTTCTGACGTAATAAAAAAAATTAGTCCCGAAAAATTAAGTTCTATCCATAATCGTACGAATAGGCCAAAGCTAAAGGAAGAGAAAGTTATAGAAATCGAAAAAAAGAAAAGAAAATCATACCTATTGATTAAATATCAGAATGAAAATAAAAAAACACAGATAATAAGAGACAAAATTTTTTTTGAGAAAATAGAAAACGCAGAGGAAGATTTTAAACCCGTTTGCGTAATGATTCATCACTTTCAAGCGACATTAAAATAATCTAGTTTCAGTATGGCATTCTTCTGCTGTTTCAAGCATACATTCTCCTTCAGTCTCAAGCAAACGCTCTCGTTTTGTCTGTGTTAGGAAATAATTCGCCAAGGATACTTGATTCACTCAGTAATTGTAGTACTATACCATACCAAAAGAAAACTGGATTGAAAATACTTTAAAGACGACTTAGTTGTGCAAAATGTGATAGAGATTATTATCATTATGTAATAAAAAAGTAAAGTTATACACGAAGTGGCGTCGTGCACAATCTCTTACTAGCTCTAGTTATTACATCTTACATTGAATGCAAGAAAATACTATGATAGTTACTGAAGAACCAAACACATATAAAGAGATCTCAAATAAAAGCTGTAACTTCTTACCGGGAATTGACCGAAGGCAACTTGGCTATTAATTATTGATTACATTTAGATGCAAAAGACAGAAATATTTTATATTTGTCAAATTGTTACTCATCTTCGCTAAGATTATTCTAAGGAATAAAATTTCTTGCTGTTTGATTTTTTCTAAAGATGAATAAGTTTTTACTACATTTTATTAGTTTATTATGGTTTCTTATTTGTAATAATTTTAAAAGTCTCAGTTATTTTATTTCGTAAGAGTTTTGCAAAGTTATATACTAACGAAATAATTTTGATTAAAAATATTTTAATTACTATTAAAAGTTGCTTAATTTTCTCCAAAAAATTTATTATTAACAGGTATAACATTAATTAAGTGTAAATGCATACTTAGAAAACTAAAAATTAATAAATACCAAAATTATTAGATAAATAAAGATAATAATTAAAAAAATATAGTTTTATTCGTCAATAAATCATTCATAGTTATTAAAATTATACAAATATATCTACCGTGGAGCTGTGTCACATTCTCGGAGAGGTATTTTCATTTTTGTGTAAACTACAGTGAAAATAGTTAAGCTTACATTCATCATAAATTTTTTAGGTGCATCATAAATCATAATGCAAGATATTTGACCTTTCATTTGAATGATATCAAAATTAAAATATACATTTTTAGAATTTTAAGTTCGTTTTTGATTGATTTTAAATTCGTTGTAGTGCGACTGCTGATCATGAGGTCCTGGGTTCGAATCCCTGGTCGGACCAAAAAATTAATTATTGGGTTTTTCCGTCAAGAAATTCTCAGTAGTTGCCCGGAGTCAGAAGTTAGCGGTGTGTCATCCCCGTGGCTCGTAAAGCACGTAAAGCCGTTGGTCCTGCGCCTGGTCTCTCTCCGGTCGTGTCAGTTTACCGTCCCATCGGATTATGAGAGTGAGGGAATAGAGAGTGCACCTGTGCTTGTGCATACTTGTGCACTATAATCCTGCGCCGATGGCTAGCCTCCGTTGAGGCAGGTCGCCGTGGCCGAAATTCGGTCTGGAGGACTATGTACTTATTTATTTATGCATTTAGTAAAAGCTGTTATTTTGAAATTACCAACAGACACTTCAATTTTATTTGTATTTGTATTTGTAACACAATACATGCAATAAAGCATTTGTGCGTTTTGGATTTTGTAAGACCCATGAATGTATAACCATATGTCCATATTATGACCCATAATGTATGTATATGTGATAAAGCCACGCTGCAGCTATATTTGCAGCATGAATGGTTTTGCTCGACTGCGGAAGGTCCACGCCCTCACAGAATACCATAATAAAATTGCAGCTTATTGCTTCTGCTTTTAGCATGGTGAGTGTAGAGAACGGGAGACCCTATTTAATGTTAACGCGGCATTTTTAGCCCTCAAGGGTGGAAAAGCATCTACATTTTAATTCTTGATGAAGGCAAGAAATGTAAGTGACTATGGGCCATAGCATTGAATTACCATCAGGTGTGTACTGTGACTAAGCTATTTGGACGTCTACCGACTGACAACACTACCTAAAATAAAAGTTAAAATTTTCTCGTTTACAGGAGTGGTGGACGGCTTCTCAATTCTCTTGGTTCTACCGCGCGTGGAACCGTGTTGTCTACTCATGGTTACGTGATCATATATACCGACCACTCGCACCGCTAGCCGGCAGCAGCATTTCTACTTTCGTCGTCATTGCTGTAGGTGTTTATAATTAATATATAATTCATCGTCATCATCATCACCTTTATCATCATTCCAAACCATCAAAATCCACCACTGACATTGTAACGTTCTTACCGCGCTTGACGTAATTAGAATAGTCAACTTATCTAATTGCTCCATAATCATCTTAACTCTAGATAACTAAACATTCGTCCACACGACATCGCACCTCCATGCGAACTTCAAGTTCACGTACTTCCCGTACCATTATTTATTCTGTGCCCGTACTCTCTGCTCTCAGCTCTTTGTTACCTTCAAAACTTGAGTTGATAGTGCAACGCGTGCCACACTTGCAGTCATTGGTCGATTAGAACGTTAGCTACGGCTAAGCCATCGTCCGCTCTGTCGGGAGGCCTATCCCGTTTGACTTTTTTTTTAAAAGACACCAAATAAACCTAAAGGTTTATTACAAAAGTTCACACACCAAATTAAAATAGTCCCTGACTTCCGAACTATAATACGTCTCGGAATCTATGTTCGATCTACCCGGGGCTCTGAGTATAACTGATCATTAAAAATTTAATTAAAACGAACATGGAAAGGAACAATATGATTACTGAAAAAAGCCATATTAAGGAAAAGTACCGTGTGATTAAATAAATGCTTACTAATATTTTATTGCCTTGTTAAAAGGGATATAACAGCTCGACAAAAGTTTATTCGCTTCGTTACTTTTGTGTCGAGATATGTATATTTTTAGATATATACGCAGGCTCTTAATTTCATGGCTATTAAATGAGATATAAAGCTGCATCATTAGGCATTATAAGGCAACTAAACAGACGGATCTCTAAATGCATGCGGCGGGACATACGCAACTTCAACCCAACTCAAATTAAAGAAGTGATTGGGCGGAACCAGGGCAGGCCTCTGTCACTCTTGCTATCTGCGTGAAATAATTACCTAAAATCGCGATTCACCCAGGATGTAATACGCAGTTTACGTAAATAGTCTTTTGTAAACACTTGTTATAATTTTTGTTTAGTATTTAATTGTAGGATAAAATAGATCAATTTTTTTAATGTGATTTAAAAATAATATATGTGTATATAACCTATCTATTTGATAAATTATAATGGCAAAACTTCGAACCTACTATAATTTTTGAGTGGATAGATGCATAATAAGCAAACAAAAGGATTCAGATATATCATTTTTTAAGATACCTAAGGGTAATGAAAGGTACATTAATACATTTTTTTTGGAAATAAATACTTAGAAAGTAACTTACATGTCTTTTGTAATTAAAATATTTTAAGTTATCACAAAGCACTGAAATTAAAACTTTGTTCACAAGATTTCAACTAATTATAATACAATCATATTTCATTTAGGAATCGTATTTCAGGTTCATTTGTTGTTTACACTGCCTACCTATTTCTTCCGAGCGATTTGTTAAATCGCGATTCGCGACGAGTGACCTTGCACGTTGCATGCGTTAGGCACAGAATTCGCATAGTAGCAAAAATATGTTCATTCGATCAGTCACAATAGGTACCTTACCTATTTTACTTGCCATTTCGCAACGTTTAATTTATTTATTTATTTATACTCTTTATTGCACACAACATTTAAATTTATGTACAATTAGGTGGCCTCATCGCTTAACAGTGATCTCTTCCAGGTAAACCTTGGTAACGTACGAGTAGCACTACATATTATTTATTCTATGCCCTGGTGAAGGAGATCCGTAAATAGAAGTGTGCATAAATAGTAAATAAATGAGCATATATTAATACATATTATAAGCTTAGTAAGTACCTACTTACATGTGTTTTTAATATATTTTTAATATATTCTTAAAAGCTCTTAGTAACCACGGAAAAGCAGCCGTGATGTGGGAATGGGAAAAGATGCAAAGTAATACGGACACTCGCGCGAAGCGATATAGGTTTATTTAGCTTGCGTGCGCAAATTATCTTATATTAATAGTAATTAAGTAGGCTGTTTAACGTCGGCAAGCAGTCAACATCAAAAGAGTGAAACTTCTGTACGTATTACTATTATTTATTCTGTGACCAGGGCTCGAAAGTCTGCCAGAGGTCTGTCTGCCAGAAAGAGTCATCTATCAAGCTGAAGATCATTGTGGTAGCATCGTTTCCGGGATACCTGAGATTTTACATACGTACGTGGCTAAAATCACTTTGTTTTTAGCTGACTCCATCAATCAATTTAATTAGTTCACAAACTAATTAAATGATTATTTATTAAACGTTCTGGGGTTATAACATATAAATTTGAAGAAAAAATACCACCCCTAAGGGTGCAAAAGTAGGCGGTGAAGTTTTTAATGTAACAATAATTTAGAAGACATTTTGGTATTCGATATTCCTTAGTCCACTCAAGAAGGTAAAAAAATTAAATTATCAATTTTGAATTTTGAATGAAAGTGAAAGGCCCAATTCAACGAACTAAAATGATTAAAATATTTTCCACACAATGGCACAGCCTAACTACTACTAACAGTCTACTCGGTCTTCGAAGGCGTGCGTCTAAACGGGTCATTCTTGTTCTGTAGGAGCTCCCGGCCATTAGCCGACTCGGGAGCACTCCGCCCGCGTCTCGCCCTGCACTGAACTGTCCTTTGCGGTCGTCCTGTCACGCAAATAAATTAAAATGATTCACACCGCATGTGCGTTAATAACCGTATGTTTGTAGTAGTATGCGGAGATTTTATATCAATCTCCTCGAAGCATCTTCCAACAGTGTTAAATTTTGGTACTTGTTTAAATCATACAACCTTGATAATATATTATTTGAAGCTACACCTATTGCATGGTGTCGTGCAACTTATATTGACAATATTTTTTACAGATGTTATACCAATCAACAAATTAATAATCCAAAAACTAAATTCTGATCACTGTGGACAACTGGCTTCATTACTAATATAATATTGAGAAAATTATGTTTGTTCCGACTAATGCAAAACGCCTAAAGATATTTAGAAGTAATATGATAAAAATCTTCCATCGCTTTCTTACAAGAACTATTCAGACTATTATAATAAATATATTTGTGGAGATTATTTACCATTATAAGCAATGACTTTAATAAAACATTACTTCTAAAACATTCTCCAGTAACAGGCATTTAATGAGTGGGCGACAGTAGAAATACATAAGACCAGACGAAGATTAGTATATGAACTGTACCATGAAACATCATAATAACCTTTCCGATACTTTTAGAGAATATGTCAAAAATTATTTTAAAATGTTAAAAGAGTGTGCTCCATAGCCAAATTTTTACATATAAGTCGCAAATTTAAGACTTCTAAAAATAAAATTAAACGACGTGGAGTATAATTAATAGCAAAACCAGTAAAGAGAAATTTCGTACCACAAACTATCAATTGAAAATTAATAATGAATTAAATAGATCAAATCAAGAAATCACAGCGGTGTTTAAGAATTATTTCACTGCTATTTCTATCTTGACAACAAATTCATTGAATACTTCTCCAACTGTCACCGATTCATCACTCAAACAGGATATTTAATACCCATTTAAAAGAATTCAGATTTGAAAGGGTATTACCACAATATATTGTAAAATATTTCAAAACTCTTGATGTAAAAAAAACCGTAGATTTATGAGGGATTCTCGTTACAGTTATTACGTCCTTAAAAGTTTTAATTGGATCTCATCTTGCTATTAATGCTAGTATGCATAGAATGTTTCACTCACATACATATATACATCCGTACGGACGTTCACATGAAATTAGTCAGAATAGCTTCCTGTGATCTCAAAACATCGAGATCTGATGAAAACTCGAAATTCGAAAGTCCGGGTGAAAAAATAACCTTCCTATTTTTAAAAATTTTCAATTGTATTAGCGGGAAGTTAAAACTAAGTTTAACGACTCTATTCAACACTTTTACTTTTCTATTACTCATAGTAATTTTATAGGTTACATATGAAAACTTTGATACATTGTCCGAAATAGATTCATGCTGACACATCGCTTCCAACTTTAGACAACTAAAGTTCGGCCTCGCATGGAATGCAGTTCCCATCTCTGGGCTGTGGCATCCCAGTGCCAGCTCCTCTCACTTAACCGCACCCAGCGCAGAGAGGTTCGAATCGTCAACGACCGAGTTCTTCGATGCTAGGTTTTACCTCTTTTCTGCATCTATCCTCTACTTTCTTAATCGCCAAATTTCATAAACCCACATCGCGTCACAATTCATGATACCATCCTCACCATCTGGATGCTTGACGGTCCACCACTGTGCATTTTACTAGGAGTTTTCTTCCTCGTACAACTTCTCTGTGGAATTGTCTACTATCGGCGATTTTTCCGGACCGATACGACTTAGGAATTTTCAGTAAAAGAACTTACTCCTTTTTAAAAGGCCGGTAACGCGTTTGCTATTCCCCTGGTGTTGTGATTTTTCATGGGCGACGGTAGTCACTTACCATCAGGTGAGCCGCATGCTCGTTTGCCCCTCTTCTATAAAAAGGTGAAAAATTCGAGTTGGTAATATGGTATTTATTAGAGTGATTAAATGAAACATAGTAAAGATATACCTTTATTTAAATGTGTTATTAGATTGTACCTCGCTAATTTAAGACCTATTTCTGTACAAACAACTCTCGGTAAAATTTTTGAAAAAATCATTTTGGATCAATTGTTAAAAAGCCTATGTTCGGCAGTGGACTTGGACGTGAAGGGCTGTAATGATGATGATGATGATGAATTGTTAAAAAAATTATACACATATATCAATTAAGTTTTACAAGAGATCACTCGACGACTGACGCAGGTGTTGAGTTTATGAAATATATTTTCAATGCTTGGAGAATTCACAAGATGCCTCAGGTACTTTTTATGATTTTTCCAAGGCTTTCGGTTGTGTTCATTGTGAGATATTAGTCAAAAATATTGCGCTTAGACTAATTATTTCATATTTAAATAAGAAAACTCAAAAAATCATTATCAATGGTTAAGGTTACTCCGGATCCTTAGTATCAATGGGCGTCCCTCAGGGCTCGATTCTTGACCCATTCCTGTTCTTAATCTATATTAATGACTTAGTTTATCTTGTAGGGGACAATCACGATATAGTATTATTTAATGATAATACCTTTTTAATTTTAAAACGGCTGTCAACTAAATTTGACAAAGTAAATAATGCACAATCGAAATTAGTACATTGGTTTAATGCCAACAATTTGCTTTTAAACGGCAAATAATACAAAATATATTAAATTTAATATACCTAACGCTAAATATTCAAATACTAATGTGCTCTTAAATGGGGAGGAGTTGAGTCTTGTGGATATCACTGTTTTTCTTGATATTACTATTGACATGAAGCTTCAATACATAGCCCCCATATATCTCAATTAAAAGGCAGACCTAGTTCTGCAGCATATACTGTAAGAAAGAGTAGAAGTCTCACCAATGTTGAGACAGCTATATTAGTTTATTTTAGTTACTTTTGTAGCATAATGTCTTATAGAATTACGCTATGGGGTAATATGACAGACATTGAAGTTATATTTTTTTTTTGCAAAAGAGAGCCGTACTTGCAATTTATAACTTAAATTTAAAAGAGTCCGTTAGAGAAACAATTTAAGAAATAAACATATTAACTTTGGTATCGCAATATTTTTATGAAAATGTGATGTTTCATATATAAAAACATAAATCGCTTTAATAAGAATAAAGATGTTTACTACTATAAACACTGGCAACAAACATAAGATTGTAATACCAGTTACTGGACTCCACAGAATAAGTACTTTATTTATGGCGCAATGTATTTATATGCTTTTACAAAAAAATCCCATAAAACGTACAAAACTTGTAAATAACTAAGTTTTAATGTTTTGTTAATGCAAAATTGTATAAAAAGGGTTATTATTATATCAAAGAATGTATAAATGAAAATAACCCCTGGGAATGAGGTGATCGCTACCATGCTGGTTTTATAAAAAAATCATTTAAAAATTGTACAAACGAAATTATTATAAAGTGAAATAAAATATTAATATTTAATAAAAGTTTCCCTGGTTTGCTGGTTCTTACCAGGACAGAGGTATTTTCCGAACAAGTGATAAAAAAATAACTTTCATTAATTATTATGCAATTATTTAGATTGAATTAAAAATCATTAATTTTATGGATTCATTCATTTCGTTCTCTCATTGTCCGCGGACTGCGCACGTAAATATCCTGCGACCGCTCGCGGCATGTTTCTAGATTTTGTCCCATAGTGAATATAAGGCAATAATAAACCATAGTATTTCTTCTTTATTATTAATCAGAAGTAGACTCTAATGGTGATTCTAAATTGCTTCTCATAAAGTTTTGAAATTTGATTTAGTCATTTTTAATAAACTTTCGGTTGACACAGCCTTGTTCATTTATTAGCACGTTGCACCGCAAAGTGAGGTAGACATTTGGGGAAAAATTGTTATAATATTGTTTAAATTCACCTTACACTTTTATTATAGTGCACAAACAAAAAAATATTAAAAAACAACTAACTATAAATTGTAAAAATATATAAAAAAATAAAGCGGATCAATTTTCAGGTATCATCTGTCGCACACGAGTTTATATTGACCCTTTCATTTGGTTTCTTTTACCCTGTGCTTCTCATGGAGTTCGGAGTGTTTGGGCTAATTATGTTGCCACTCACGGCTTCCAGTGGACGTCGCTTCCCAAGTGCCCTCAATCTTTGTATTTGGCTATGCCTGTTTGTTGGAAACGGTATGTATCTTCAAGTAATATCTTAAATACGGCCAAATATATCGATACTTGACGTCCAAAACCGCAAAACTAAATGCTCCTTTTCACAATCGCGGTTTCGGATGTCGAACTCCGCATGCAAAATTTTACAATATATTTTATTTTTTTACAGTAAGTTTTATATAATTTATGATACTAATATACAATAATGCACACTTCACATTAAGGTGGAGCAAAATTTTTTTCATCTTATAATCTAATAGTGCGCAAAAGGTGAGGTTAACTCACGCATAATATTTTTTTTTAATTTTAAATATAGATTATTTTCATTATAAATCAATAAAAAACCAAGTTTTTACGTAAACTTACTTCAAATCAAGAATATGATGGCGCGCGCGGGAAATAATTTTGGCGCACGTGCGGGAGGTAATTTGTCGCGCATTTATCGTATCACTGCCAATGTGCTATTGCTTTTCAATGTGAAAGGTCGTGCTTTTGTCTATTTTACAGTATTTCTTGGTTGTTTGAAGCATGTAAAGAACCTTTAGTGCATTCAAGTGTCCCTTTTTTGATGATATTCAATATAATAAAAAGAACACTTCACCTGCGTATGAAGATCTGGTGAAGTACTACGAGTGGACCAGATATCAAATAAAATTGCAACTGAAAACTGTGAAAGAGCCAATATTTTCAATAGGCGATATTGTGGCACCTAGAGTTGAAAATATCTGGCAAACTGAGTCTATTCCGACCGTAACTAGAACACAAGTTATACGAATGTTAAAAGCCTACCACTTAAAATGTAAAAATTTACTTAAGTCTATTAAGAATCTCTCTTCAGAAAAATTGGATAATTTTCGAGAAAAGGTAATAAATATTACAGAACAATGACTGTTAAAGAGCACATTTCCCTAATTCAGGAGCCGGGTTCTATCTACACGGGTTATGTAGTACCTAGCACTGGTTCGGCGAAAGCAGAATAATCAGCAATCACAGGGTTCTTAGTAAAGGAAAGTATTTCCCTAAAACATCTTGTAGCAATAAGTCGTGATGGGGCTAATGTAAATTCTGAAAAGTACGGTGGCACGGAGCAAGGAGCTCCCTCCAACGGATTATTTGTTTACTGCATATGAACAAACTGCCATTAAGACATTTGTTTTTACATATTAACGGAAGCACTTCGGGACCCAAGTCTAACATTGGTGAGATGGGAAATATACTGGAAACTTGTGAAAAAATGCTGATTAAGAAATTCCAACCATCGAAGCAGAATCACTCCCAAAAATGCACCAGATTCGAGCACAGATCAAAAGTACTTGCATGAGATCGTCTACGCGGTACAATTAAGTTCTTTTCCAGAAGATCTAGCAAACAGGTCTCCAGGTGTGGTACACACATCATCATCACATCATCACATTATTTTCTACACAATCTCATGCTCGTCGACTCACACCTGCTAATTGAATTCTACGTTTGTATGGCAACAGAGAAATTGCTGTGGCTACATTTGTCATAAAAGTTTACGCCCCAGCTTGGTTCTCGATTAAGATTAAACTATCATGTAAAGATGGAGCTCGACATCTATTTAAAATTATATTAGCCTCCAGGTATTTGCCAGAATCCTTGAAAGAAGTGATTGACTACGTCATTCAACGCAATAGCTAAATCGCACATTCTGAGAATGTTGCTACTTGCAATGATTACAGATGATAAAAAGCACATTCATGAATTAGCAGCCCGGAGCATATTAAAAGCACAGAGTATATGGCAATCCCCTACACCAAGGCTATTCGAGTTATCTGATATTAATTTCAGCGCAACAACCTACATTGATATGACAAATTGGCAACACACCATTAC